TATAAAGAATAATACAGAGATCCCATACATTTTCACCAGTTTCTCCCAATGGTAACAACTTGCATAACTGTAGTATAATATCACAACCAGGAAACTGACATTGATGCAAGCCACCAATCTTATTAAGATTTCACTAGTGTTACATGCACTCATTTGTGTGTATCTAGACCTATAAAATTTTATCACATGTATAGATTTGTGTGACCATAACTGCAACCAATATATAGAACAGTTCAATCACAAGGATCTCGTGCTTTCCTTTTTTAGCCATAGCCGCTATTATATAAATGGGATGCCATGGTATGTTACCTTTTGAGATTCACTTTTTTAACTCAGCATAAGTCCCCTGAGATCCATTCAAGTTGTGTGCATCAATAGTTCCTTCCTTTTTATTTCTGAGAAACATTCCATGGCATGAATATATCAAAATTTGTTTATCTATTTACCCACTGAAGGATATCTGGGCTGTTTCCAGTTTGGGACTGAATATAACTACCATGAAAGTTCAAATACAGGTTTTTGTGGGAACATAAGTTTTCATTTCTCTGGAATAAATGACCAAGAGTATAATCACTGGGTCATATGGTAAGTACACGTTCAGTTTCATAAGAAACTGCCATACTCTTTTCCAGAGTAGCTATACCATTTCACATTCCCACCAGCAATGTATGAGTGATCAAGTTTCTCTGCATTCTCACCCAGCATTTGGAGTTGTCACTGTTTTTTTCTGCACCATTCTGATAGCAGCATGGTAGAATCTCAATGTGGCTTTAAGTTGCATTTCTCTAATAGCTAATGATGTTGAACATCTTTTCACATGCTTTTTGCCATCTGTATATTTTCTTCAGTGAAATATTTTTGTATCTTTTGTCCATTTTCTAATGAGATTTTTTTTTTACTGTCGAGTTTTGAGAGGTCTTTATCTACTGAGATGGGTTCTAGCTATGTTACCCAGACTGGAGTGCAGTGATTAGGCAGAAGGGCAATCATAGTTCATGTACAGACTCAAACATCTGGGCTCAAGCAATTCTCCCACCTCAGTCTCCTGAGCAGCTGCGACTAAAGGCACACACCACCACGCCTACCTCTCTTTATATACTCTATTATAGATTCAAGTCCTCTGTGGAATATGTGGTTTGCAAATATTTTATCCCAGTCTATAGTTTATGTTTTAATTGTCTTCATAGAATCTTTCACAAAGCAAAAGTTTTTCATTTCAATGAGGTCTAATTTATCAATCTTTGCCTTTATTGATTGTCCTTAAAAATGTATTAGTTATTAATCATTCCTAACTCAATTTTTCCAGAGACATTATGAAATTTAAGACATCAGATAGGATTTATGTCAGATCAACTTTTGAATACCAATGTAACTCAATTTAATTCCTTCTGAAGTAGAGCTCTTTGGCAATTAAAACCAAGATACAATTGCTGTTTCTGCAAAAAACAGATACTAGTTTCCAGGATAACCAAATTCTCAGTAGGGGAGAAATAAATGTACTTCACACACACACACACATATATCATAGGTAGGTATAAACACATTTTTATACTAATATGAACTAAGAGCAGAGTTAGACCTAACCCACGCCATCAAAATGTTTATAATATATTAGAAA